CGAAACCGGCTAATGACTAGTAATTTTTCATTAGCCTTGGACCGACCCTGTGGTCAGGAGACCCTCCTGGGGCACACCCAGCCTTTATAAAGTGGAAACACTTAATTTAAAAAATATTGAGGAAAACCTGGCGGTTGAGCGTGATATCGGTTCCATCATCTCCCTGCACAACCGTTGGCCTTGTAACATTACTTCCTCACATAGTACTCCACCCAAGACCCTTCATGGGTTGTAGTGGTACAGATTTTTATTGGTCATTATAACAATGATGAACTTTTTTTTAAAGTTATTTTTAATAGCGACATAATATTTGGGATAATTGAAAGTTTCTAATCAGTCCGTTTCCGTTGCCTCTGAGGTGTAGCAAAGGGTAATATTAACTCTATTTAATTCATATTTATCATATATTAATATACATACATCAAAATGTTTTATTATTCTCTTGGTTGGGCGACCTAAAGGATTTAACGTTATATAATATTATACATAAAATATTGTCGTTAGGGCTCGGAACCAAATTGATCCTTATTTGAAATCTTTGACCAGACAATAGTTCATAATCTTTGACGAAACAATAGCTCCACATGTTCTAAAAACAAACTATTCTTCCGCCATTTATCCACCTTGTTATTTCCAGTGTCACTCAGCGCTTCGTTATATTCTTATTGGAGTGCAAACGTCGGGGAGACCATGTTTTAAAATTCATTAAAGTAATAAGGGACAGACCAATGTTTGTCCTACGTTACGTAGCTTATGTAAACTTCTTTAAATATTTATCTTTATTTAAGAGAAACCCCTGGATGTACACCCTTTGAGGGACCCTGAATGGAGTTAAGTAATAGAGGATGGTATATCATTCTTTATTTTTTTTTAAGGATAACAAACAACAATTATCACAACACTAGAAGTAAAGCTGCAAGTTGAAGTTACTTTCTGGCATACCTACCTCATCATTTCTGGCAGTGAGGAAGAGAGAGAATATTATTGTTGTTAACAACCGTCCCAACTTTAACGAAAAACATAACCGCGAATTAAAGTAGTCTATAAATCCTGTGTTGATATAAAGTACTTAACTAAAATATCTAGGACAAAGCTTTATCTAAGAAACTTGACCGTGTAAAACGGCCTTTACGTGCGGGTTTTATCCTTTCATTTTCGCCATTTTAGTTGATGGCCGTTGAGAGGTGTTAATTCTCTCTTGGAGGTTTAATATATATGTGTACAAGACACTCCTTCAGATCCGACTTAAATTAGAGTAAGTGCCTGTGAGAACATTATCAGGCATGAAGGATCGGCCGATACAGATGGCTATCAGGGAGCCGTGTATCTGCCGAGGGTGCCACCTCCAGATAGCGATCTAATCCTTTCTTTTTATCTCCTCAGCGTACTTCTTCCGATCAATATATGAACTCACGCCCGAGGACAATGTCTACTGTTTGAAAAATAACACACTTTTTAATATATGTAGCGATATTTGGACCATTATTATTTTAGCAGTTTCATATTCTTATTTTATTTGTTTTAAATTTTTTAATAACAAAAAAAAAATTGACCGCGACAGCTCATTGAGTGAACTGTAGGACTCTTTAACTCTTTGATTCCGAGGAAATACTTTAACAGTTTAACTCCTAGGGAAGTCTTTTATAGAAAAGGAATCCCGCACTAGTACAGACTCGGTCTCTTCACAGCAGTACCTGACCTTTCAAGGAGTTTAGAGAAAACTTGTAAGTTTAACGTGGACAAATAAATGTGCATGCATATAGTTGATTCAGAAAAGTTTTTTCTTATCCTGTAACATCTAGAATATTTGCTTGCATGCACAAGTCTCTCCTATGAACTCTATCAAAACTTGAGTTTGACAAAAGCCACATCAGCAACTATCTACCATCTATATTTCGGTTTGGGATAGATACTCGTAGCTTTAGATTAGATAGTGGGTGAATCGTTCGTTATCCGTTTCGATAATATTAAACATACATTTTAGCCGCCTCATTGCTTTCTTCCACTTTCACAATTTTTGCTTGGTGTAGGTCCCATAAATCCGTCTTATTCATCCCTCTGAATTCTTCGGTCTATTAAGGTATTTTACATAACAGTTTATTTCAGCAGTTCTGTAATGTCTTCTCCATGGACTGTAAACCTGAAAGTAGTTAAAGTATTGTGCAACTATTGTTTTATTGGAGCATTCGATATCTCTCTAATGATAGATATGATTTACTTTCCAACGTTATTTTGTCGGTTTCCCCATTTGTGATTTTTCTCCATTTATAATCACTTTATCAAATAATGTCTATGAGGACAGTGGCTTTGAGGAAGTCGCTTTTAATGGTGGAAAACATTTTGGAGGATATAACCATAAAACGAACATAGCAAACATGGAAGGAGAACGAACAAGAGGGGTGTAACACAGAACCGGTTAGGAATCTGAGCGAAAGTGACAACGATTGCCTTCTATCCGAATAGATGCTTGTCCGGAAGAAAACAAAATAATAACAGGCGTCAATGGTTGATATCGTCCCCAAGATGGCGAGGCCGCAAGTTCGAAGCGGACGCGGTGGTTAGCCGAAACCATATCCAGCCCATGAATTATTCCTCATGACCATTGTCTGCCGGGGGCGGGTGCTTGCCAGTCCTGTCAGGCGCTTCCACTGCCCTCTTTCGTCTATCTCCTGACTCATCGTCTGTCATCTCCGCCGCTCTCTGCGTTCTAGCTCGTGTACCTGTCATTCTTATCTTTTGTCATGAGCATGTAAGTAAGTCAATTTACTTCATCTTATCACCATTGTTTTATTCAATTAAATATATTAAAATATTATTAAAGGAGTCCTATTTTTTTCTGGATTCTTTAAACAATAAATAAATTAATCAAGACATTTAGGTGTCTCACTTCATGCCTGCTTATAACCATCGACAACAACCATTCACTGCTTACAAAAAAATGTTAAGTTACCTGGGACTTTACAGGACATGCTTCTCACTCAAGACTTACTTGGAAAATGCTAAAAAAAAAAAATAAAAATACAAGGACTGACATGAAGATATAATCAACATCTTTTGGACTAAAAATCCTCTCTTAACTTACAAAATAAGCGACGTGTCTCTGTAACAGTTTACTGAGACCAATTTGGACATATGGAGCAAAACTATAACACCGTCAACACTTCTTATATTTCTTTTCAACACTTCTGATCTGATATTTCATTATCAACGATTGTGCAAGGATATGATTTCATCACGCTCAATCGCCTCATTTTTTCCCTTGATCAGTTATTTAATAAAAATCGTCTATTTTATTGAGACTGGTTGTGCCACAGAACGGTCTTCTGACCCCAGGCTGAGATATCCTAATAAATAATTACCTACCACAGTCGGATTCGAACTTAAGAATCGAACAGTCGAAACTGGCACACAGTGTCTCATAAATCTAAAGAAACCATTGTTAATATATTGTAATTCTTCTGAAAAGTACATGAACAGTTCTATGTGTCAACAAAATGGATCTCATAATTCCACGTATATATTTTATAGATTTAACTTCTACAATAACGTTATTTTTCTCCTCCGCAATCTATTGAGTAATGTTCATTTAATAATAGGCAGTAAAACAAAAACGAAAAGACAGACGATGGGAAAAAAGTGATTAAAAATAACGAAACTCGTGTCATTAAACCGAAGTAATGAGCGGTCATAATTTATTCGATTCACTATCATTCAAAGATATATTTATATATATATATATATATATATATATATATATATATATATATATATTTATAAACTATTGACCATTAATTGCTTTATTTTCAATTTTATTATCCCATCATATTAAAAAAAAAAAAGCATGACATTAAATATAAATATCTTTCTATTATACAAAAAAGATTTTAATGATGGCCATGGAATATTTTATTTTACAAATACAAAGCGGGACGGACTGTAACAGAGACACCACACTTATAATTTGAACCACGAGCAGTACAATTAATTGAATAGTGGAATTACATAATTTGTAAAATGGGAGTTGGCCAGCCGTTAAGCGGACAGAGGTACTCCCCTAGTTTATATTAAATATTAAATTGAGTAACTTAAACAAGTTTTGAACTTTTTCAATGGTTAAATAATAAATTTGTTAGGTAATATATTTTTTTGTTTCGGGATTGTATACCCTTCATCGCTATTTAGTAAAATTATTAAAAATAAGAAAGTAGTAAAATTATCTCACTGAAAATGTTTAACTGTTTATTTTTCATCAATGTGAACTACTTAAATAAAATAATTCACTCTTTCGAATTAAAGTACTAGGAGTACTTCAAAAAATCGGTTCTTTGAACGATTAGTAATTATTGGAATATCTCCTTAATAACTTATTGAGGAGAGTTTAGTACTTATACATAGTGTTGCCCAAAATCTGTCTTGGTTTTGCACTTTGCTAGACCAAGACCAAGGCCGCTTAACTGTTGCAAGACCAAGACCAGGACTGGCAAAGAAAAAGCAATTTTTTAAATAAAAATTAAGGCAAAATAGTTTCTATTACTTGACAATCTTAGTTACTATATGTTAATAATTGGTACAACCGATACACTTTTGCATTTAACTCCTCTAATTTTTCATTCAGGCTTAGTTAGTTTTTTCCTTTCTAAAAATTACAGTAATATCTTTATAGTAATAAGCTAATAAGTAATTGCAAGACTCTTGCACAAGACACCGAGACTGAGTTTGCAAGACCAAGACTCGTCTCGGTCTCGCATTCGGGCAACACTACTTATACACCGATGATGCAGATTCATAATAACATGGCAGGCTTATCGCTCCGATTTTTATTATTTTTTTAAAATTCAACTCCACCTGAATTATAAAATATTATAATACAAGAGCTGTGTATTATTACATCATAGCTTCAATTAGGATTAGATCATGCGAAGACTTGTTTATTTTTTGTTTTCTTATTGTCAGTTCCCATATCTTATTAATTATTTATTTATTAATCCTATTATATCGAGATGACGCCACTGATCCTCGAATCTAGGAGTCCAATCACTCCGAACGCTGACAGTCCGCTCACGTCAATTGACGTGAGTGTCGTGATCAGAAAGCAGCGGACGTCACCATTCTAAAAAAACCCGAAGCCCCCGCGTCCTCCGCAAAACTGATTTATTTTGTATTTCTTTCTCTAAGTGGAAATGGGTAATTCATTGCCATCTGAGCCTCCGGTTTGCCTGTCGCAATAAATACAGTACTTATAATTTTTTTCTTAAGGGGTAAGCAACGACAGTGCGCCATATATTACCCTAGAATCTCAAGATATATGGCACTAATGTTCTTAATATTCTGTTTATTAATTTGGAATTGGTTTGTTAGAAGGCATACAAATCCATCGTATTTAATTATTTTGTTAACTAAACCAATTTTCTGTTCAAATGAATTTCTTGGCTGGATAACTCCAACAGTATTTTCGCGAGTTACAAGAAAAACTGGTCGGTTATGTTAGTGAAGATAGGCTATCTTCAGAACTGATAAAATTATTTAGGACCGTCCAATTATACAAAAAAGTACGGTAGCTATTTTTTAGTGAATCACGATCTTCTAGTCAGTGAATCAGGATCTGCATCCTTCTCCAATCGGGGGACTTGAGCACATAGCTTCTTTCTAGTTCCTATTTTAGAGTTAATCGTTCTCGAAAGAGCGGTTATGCCAATCTAAATCTATATTGGATGTTAGAGAGAGATAAGGATTCTTTCCTATATCGTAACTTCAAGGAATATGAGAAGTATTTTTATTCAAGATATCTTTATTAAATCTCTGGTTAAAATTTTCAATGATACATTAAAAAGCATGTTGCTGTTTTTTAATGAACTGCCATCATGTCAGAGAATTAAGATTCGCACCCTGTACCCCTTCTCCCATCCGGAGTTCAGCTCATAGCTCTTTTTATTTCCTTTCTCCTAACTCTTTTTTTTTTTTTGAGTCAATTGATAATAGATGTGCAATCTCGCCAATCTAAATTTATGCTAAAGAAGAAGGATTCTTTCCTATAGCGTTACTTCAATGAATATGAGAAATATTTTCGTTTAAGATAACAAATAAATAACCTTTACACGTACATACATATTCTTTGGAACCCGGTCTTTTTCAAGACGAGAGATACCTCAGAAGCGGCACTTTAGTGCGACAGAAGTACCATCTGTTGAAGAGAAACTCCAGACGACTGAAGACTGCCGACGACAGTTATTAATCTCCGTAGGGTCCTGTGAGGTATTGAGCAAGATCTGGGGCAAACCTTTTCCGCTTTGTCTCTTTGTCTTCATTACAGGACCTTTCTTTTGGCTTATGCCATAGTGTCTGGTCCTCTTAGGCAACCTTTGAGATTCGGTTCGCTCCTACTTTGTCTTCCAAGTAAGATGTGTAGTTTTTTGGCGACGTCATTCTATTTCTGTAAACAATATGTAATACCTTTTTGTAATTTTAATTAAATGAGTAATACTAACGTATAACGTTCCTATTCGGTACTATTATTATAACAGTCTTTATTTCAAAGGATATGAAAGAGTCGAGGGGTATAATACGGCTGCACCTTCTGGGTTATTCACTATGTTTCATGTTGGTCACGAAAAGGTATCTCCGGTGGAATTGCATTCTTGTATCCTCCCTCCACGTATTTTATCTCTCGTAAACCATAGCCATTTCGTGTGCTGGTCTTACCTTATCTCGACATGAATTATTTGTTTATAAATGGTTGTGAATAGGCTTTAAGTCTGTATGTAGAACGAAACTAAGTTTACTTTAAGGGGTATGGATAAACATAATAATTATTAAAACAATAAATATTGTTTAACAACAAATGATCACTATAACTAGTGATTAGAGTGCTTAATGCATTAAGGCAGCATTTTTTTTTTTTTTTATAATTATACATAAATTCATGTGGCACTGAGTTGATAAAATTACTTCTCCACTTTGTACCTTTAACAGTAAAGTTATAAAATGAACTCACCTTCTGTTATTTTATTTTATTTGTGTTTTTACTTAAAAATTAATTTATGGATTCTGACTTAGTTATTGATTCTTGATTTTCACATTACCGACAGAATAAAATAAAAAAATTGGATCAGCTGTTCCTATGATAGGTTAAACTTGTGGAAGATGATAAAGTTCTTCTCATGAAGATTGTTTCTACATATTATTTTTGATTTCACCAACTATGTTACTTCTTTCCTCTGTATTTTATTTGGTGTGATATTTGGAAAAAAGGAAATTGTATAATCTTTACTAGGGAGTTGCTTTGTGGTTGAATGAAAATTAACAGTTACTGGGGTTGAATATTGTTCAACGAATTTATCTGTTGTTTTTAAAAATTGTGAAATCGCTTTTAAAACACTTGTAGCAATGCGTTTTCATCTCATCTGGTAATTTATGAAAATTATTTCATATTTCTGATCATTTATCATACATTAACTGATGATAGGTCTCTACCAATTACTTTCACAAATAAAAATTTGTTGCTCCATCTCTGGTTCATATTTTTTTTTCTCTCTTTATCTTTGTTTTTATTTTTTGGATGGCAAAACGGGAATTTACCTCAATAATAGAAATGGGGGTACCTCAATGGGGGGCAAACCCATAACGTCATCAGTAGTTGCAGTCTGTAAGACAACATGATATTTCTTGCAAAAATCCATTAAATTGTATTTCATATAATTAAATGATTTTCACGTATTTCCCTTCTGTGAAATCAGAACATAGAAATTGTGAACATAGTATAAATATATCTAATTCATAAAAGTTCACTTAAAAATAAAACAACAATATTATTTAAACTATATATATATATATATATATATATATATATATATATATATATATATATTAATCGATGTAAGATTAATGATGCATTGACACATTTTCTAATAAATTGTACAAAAACAATTTTTAATTTCTAAAAGGTTAATTTTAAAATAAAGAAAAATATGATAAAAAACACTAAACAAAATTAAAATCAGCACATAAGTAGCTATTATACAATTTTCAATACAGGTTAGAATTTTTATTTTATTCATTTGTCTTGTTTTACTAAAATAATACGCTTAGTTTAGTTGAGTATATTTTAGCTATGTAATTGAAATCCTGGCTCAACCTTAAGGCACGAATTTCCATTAAACCTTATCTGAAATTGAATATTAGCCGATCAGGCTGTATTGTATTTAAAACCAAATTGAACCGTAGGCCGAGATAAACGGATCGTATAATATCCTGAATTAAAATAACCAATTAGCTTCGGGGTCCTGTATATGATTTGAATTTTTAAAATGGGTAAAATTGGAGGTAAAAGAATTTTAAGGAGGTCTAATGGATAACATTGTCCTTGTTATGTTTCCACACCGGCCTCGCCTTTTTATCGTTTATTGTTGAAAGATTTTCTTCATCTCGTTGTCCTTTTCGTCACGTCCTTTGACGTTGTCTATATATATTTATGACCCTATTGTATTTAACGTTTGTTTTGACACTTGTTTAAAAATATTTGTCAGTATTTACAATGATTTTTTTTTTTTTGCAATGTTATATATTACGGTGCTTATGAAACCATCTATTATTTTTGTATAAATGTCTCCGAATATTAAGCTATCGTATTAATTCGTACACGTAATGAGAATTTTTCATATTTATTCGTTTCTGAAAGTTATAACTTTTTTTTTTTTTTACGAAATTTTATGTTTTTACATCGTGTTATTACTTCCATTATGTGACTTGCGTTTTGAGAATTTAATTTTGGATATTTAGATATAACATAATATTTATTAAATAGTGTAATAGTATTTTCCTATCATTAGAACACAAATATTTAACAAATATTGTTTGAATTAGGCAGTGGTATTTTGTATAGTTATCAAGATTAGAAATCGATCGTCTTAGTGTCTTTACTACAATACTATATTATTTTTCTTATGTTCAACTGAACAAATTAACCTTAATTTATCAGTCAAGTAATTAACTTTGAGCAATATTTGTGTAAAAAGAAATGTTTTATTAATTGAGTTATATAGACATCATTCATTTGTCGAAGTGGTTAATCTTAATTCTATTGAAATTTTTTTGATATATATATATATATATATATATATATATTATTATCTATTATGTTTCCTTATTCGTTTATTTATTTATTTTAACCTAAGATTTTAGAACTGTTTATAGCTGAACACTACGGCCGCTTATATATCAATATTTTTCCTATTTAATAAACATAAGTATGCGAAATTTAATCCTATTTATTTAAAATTTGTTGTCCTATTAATTCAAAGAAAATGTACGGTGATATTATTTGTTTTGACGTTGGTTGAGGTTATTTCGTGAATTATTATCGTACAGGAGTGGTCTAAATTGAGTGGAACCTCACATGATGTTTCTGTTTAGGAAAGAGTTGTAATAAAGTTAAACAGAAACTTAAATTGTTGTGAAATTGGAATAATTTAAGTTCGTGGAAGAATGCGGCTTGCTGCATATGCGGAGGAAAGATTTTATAACAGGGAGCTATTTAGTTTGTTTGTTTATTTAGGTTATAAGGCGTAAAACCCTAAGGTCATCAACGCCCGTGAGTCGGTTATATTTGTAAACTCTTTAGAGGAGAAATAAAAAAAAGAATGAATAATTAATAATTAATAAATGATAGAGTAATACATAAAAAAGATATTTAAAAACATATAAAAAATAAAATATATTAAAATAAATATAAAAAAAGAAATAAAAATTACATTTATTTTTATATTTTATTGAATATAATATGGATTTTAAGAAATTTTATCACTATTTTTATGTTCAATTCGTTATTGCTTAATACTGCTGATATATTCGGTTTTAGAGATAATCGATTTAGGCTTGAAGTATAATAAGTGCATTCTTGGAAAATATGATTGATTGTGAGAAGGCTATTGCATTATTGACAATTTGGTGGTGGCTGCTTAGTGATGAGATGTACATGAGTTAGGTTCGTGTGTCCTATTCTAAACCTGTCACGGCGACCTCCTTTCTACAATTAAGGCGGTTTGATGTGGTCGAGGGCTTCACTGATTTTTTAACAACTTTTAATTTGCTAGGTGGGCTTTCGTTCCACATAGACTGCCAACTATCCAATATTTCCATTTTGAGAGGAACACTCATTTCTGGAGGGGTCAGGATACGAGGTCTGGGAGCACGAGTGCCTGTTTGGCTGTCGTATCAGCAAGCTCATTACCAACTATACACACGCGACTAGGAACCCATATAAAGCAAACCGATTTTCCTAAATTTTCCAGAGTGTGAAGGTATTTGTCTATTTTAAGAATAATTGGATGCTTTGACTACACATCATTCAAACCCTTTAATGAACTCAAGGAGTCGGTTTGGGAGCCATTTAGTGCCCTTCAGCATAAAAGACCCCATCCCTTCCTGCAGATCGATCTGTGAAGCAGCTTCCCTCAACAGTTTGGCCCTGAGTGTCTCATAGGCAATACAGGCTATGATAATGTGTTCGCCATTCTCCAGTACTCCGCTACTGGAGTATGGTTATTGATGTTCTGATGTAGAACGAGCTTTGCTCGAAAGCCTCCATGCCCTGTGTGGAGCTCTGAGACCCAGTTATCGGGTGTAACCCTTGTTGTTTCTAACCGTTTGTGTTAAACATCAATCTTTGTTTAAAAATAGACAAAGACAACTTGTATTAATCTGGTTGACTAATCAAACCGTTCAATCATTTCTTTGGTGTTTCACAAATATGGGAATTCTGCCCGTTTTTACCATTTAAGTTTTGAAAGGCGACTGATTTTTTTTTATTGAGTTAATGAAGCGGGTTGGCATTAATATCTCGTTTTGATGAATTAATGACCCGTTATAGGGAGCCTTTTGCGCCGAGGGCCGCTCGCATTGTTTTCATTTATAAATGCCAACGGCGGTAAGCGGAGCGCTCTTATAAGGGGCAGGGCGACATTTATTGATAACGACATTTGGCTGCGCTGTGAAGTTGGCTATATAGGGCTTGCGACAATGACCATTCTTACACCCTCCCCCATTGTCATACGGCCGTTTTGGAAACTGCCTACGCCTCGTAGACTGCCCTTCCCGGAACCCGCGCGGCGTAAGCGTTCCTAGCACAGCTATTTCTTCTCTACTCTTAGCTGCCCAGATAACTAAATTCACCTCTCATTGGAGGATTTGAAATCTAGTCTATATCCTTCATATACCCAACTTTATTATATATGAGTAGTTTATTTCCAAAGTGAACTGTAACCATCATTGACAATTTTTCAGGAACTTTCTAACTAAACCAAAAACTACATTTTCTACTTCAATCGTACTATCAGAATCAATATTAAAAAAATCTTTATGTGTGGCAAATATTACCGAACATGTCCATAGCTATTTTAAAACATTGAAACTTGAATGGGGCAGCTTTTGGAAAAAAATAAACTTTACTGCTCGTTTATTGAACAAAAGAACAGGTTTATTGGGGTTCGGTTTGGAGAAAAAAAATGTTAAAGATTCTGGTAAAAAATGTATATAAATTGTACTACAAAAATTACTTTTTGTTTATAATAATGGTATAATAAAATAAAATAATTTGTCATTCATTTGACTAAAACGATTAAAAAAGCTTTTGATATATATTTTTTTTTTCGTGGTGTCTTAAGAAATGTAAGATTCATTACATTACACGAAAAAAATGTATATAGTTAAAATAAAGTTGTTTCCATACCTCTTTTTTTTATTATTATTTTGGTTCGTTTTAGAAGAAAAAACATTTAAACTACCAATAATAAAGACAACCGTCGGATTTATGGGTTGTTTTTACATGAGAATTTCCAAACAAATGGATTAGGGCTCACTTTGGTATGAGGGACTCTCATATGAAATATCTAAATATATATTGAACTTATTGAAGTACCTTGAATTTATGGGCAAATGGATATAAGTATGTTTTTTTGAAAATATAGAGTTAACTGCCTGGGTAATCTGAAACAGTTGTCAGTCTACTTCCAAGTTAACATATTTACCTATTCTTCCCACCCAGTGTTCCCTTATAGTCTATCACTTAACTTTCTAACATATGTTGACTGGACTTTAAAGGTAAAGAGATTTAAGCCACAGTTAGGCAAATTTTATTAGTTATCTAAATAAATTAAAATGTATCATATTTTAAATCGTGTTTAATTTATTGATCATTTGTTGAAAAATAAACTACTTCTCGTTACCTCATTCATTATTATATTTAAAAAAATATATATAAAAAATAATTGAATAATTAATAATTCTATAGCTACATTCCATTTTCCTTTGTGATTGTAGAATCATGCCTTGTGCTTGGTATTTTCATAAACTTTTTTTGAGATAGCAGACTCACGTTCATATGTATTTTGAAAATTTGGATTTCTTCGATATTCATGTTCACCATTGTGTTAAAGAAACCGTAAGTGTTAAAACACTACCAATTTAAGATAACGTGTAAATATTTAATCTGATAATTATTTACGGGAGTTTATTATCAAAGATATTCAAAAAGTTATAAAAAATCAAAGCATATCTACGGTTGAACCTACCTTTATTTATCGAATTTGAGTTGTCTTTGTTTTCTTTAATGTATTAATTAATCCCGGCTTAAAGCATCGATTTTAAAACTATTTGACTTTTAAAATCCCCCTATTTTTGATAATTTTTACTATGGTTGTAGTTAGGTTTTACGTTTTGAAATTGGGATTCGCCCCTTCTTCATGAAATTCCCTTTCGTTGGATACCTCATTTATCAAAATCCTTCACTCCTGAGACCTGGCAAATAGAAGGTATAAAGTAATAGCTTAACTTGTTATAGCTCCTTGTATTTTTGCTTGATGGACCTTATGTTCAAACGACCTACCTTAAAACTTCGGAAACCATGTTTTCGGAGATAAGCGTTTTAAGGCGAAGTATGAAACGGCGATCATGGAAGGCCATCGCGTAATAATTGAAGTGGGTAGAATATTATTCTTTTTCTTGTTTGTCTTCGACCCACGGACGTCGCCTACTCCATTAATTGTAGATGGACGATAAGCTTCGTATAGTTCAAATGAAAACTCGAATTTATATCTAACAGGTTACATTTTAAAGCGTTATTTAAGAGGCAAAATATTTAATCCATAAATAAGCGCTGTTTATTTATGGATCTATATCAGTGTATATTAATTGGCTTTTACGATGGGGGTAATAAACCCTATCGGAGCATCTCGGGGGGATAATACAGTCGTTTGAGTGAGTCTCATTTTACGAAAGAAAAAAAAAAATGACAATAAACGTTGATTCAGTTGGATGTAAAATGTGTTTTCTGGTTTAGCAGGAACATTTGCTTATATAGATCGGAAGAATTTTTACAATGTGTGTTGGGTATGAATAGAATACGATTTTGAATTCATGCAGATTGCAAGTTTCCAAATTCCTTTAATTCTCTTTAAAGAAACTATCAAAACACTACATTCTGTTCTGTATAGTTGGTGATATTTTTGCCAACATGATTTATCATTAACTTATGTGTTTACAGGATCAAAGGAATTTACTCTAATAATATTACAATGTAACGTTACAAGATTGTTCTCGATCTGTGAGTTTTTGTTTTAATTATCTCCGTTATAGTTGATGAAGAAAGCTTAATTTAATAAAGAAAATAATGAATCCCATTTCTTGTTGCAATTATTTTTTTTTCAATTATATTGTATATGATAGGATACAAACTAATTTATTGTTAAACTTAATTTTATAAATTTCGGTTTGTTTGTATCGCCATTATCTTTTTCCATATGTTATTTTCATTTGACTCTGATATGCAGCTCTCCCGAAAAGACTTGGAGTATAATATTAAACTGTTTGCCAATATTTACGGAGTGTTTCCATAACAAATCGTTAAATACAAAGTTAGCTGTTAATAAATATAGATATATATCCTATATTACAGGTGATATTTAAGTATTTATTATCGATGATCTAAAAATATTCAGGTTAAGAAAGAATAATGTGCACTTATGATAAACAACCTTATTTAGGTTATCCATTTTTTGTAGAGTCTTTGTATTATTATCATTATATTTAATCAAATTATTAATGACGGTTGTAAATAATAATAAATAGTAATAAAAATTATTATTAATTTTATAAAATAACTTCTTTTAATTCCAATATTTATGTTATGAATAAAAAAACTGTTAACATGTTTTTTTTATTTTCTAGCTATTAACACTCATAATAATAACAATATTCGGTCCCAAATAAAAGCCAGGTTTAAAAACACAAGCAATTATATTCACCATTCATTTAAGAATATTTTTATATGACAGCAATTGTTTAATTTAAATTATAAAATATGTTTTAGAGCATCGCGTTAAAATAAATAAAAATAAAAATTCTTTTTAAAAAGATTTTTTGTTTATAAAATCATAAAATAGGATTAAAAGAGGTCTTTTTGGTTTTACCGTTAATCAAATATTGATTAAATATAACATAAATATTCGGACGTTTCGACCTAAGTTAACGTTATTCTAAAATTTTAATTAAAAAAAAATACATTTATTAATGTTAGAATTGTTGCATTCCAATTTTCATCCTTATAATGAAATTATTGGTATTACAGACATAATACTGTCATTTATTTAATTAACGTAGGTCCAATGTAGTTGTTATTGTTCATTGGTTATAACAATTGACATTACTGCCTCCGTCATCTAGAATCTTATAATTTATTCGAATTTCATGTATTTAAAATATATATATAATAGACATATCATATAATATATAAAATATAATACAATTTGATATTTAATTTGTTACTGAAAAATGTTCGAGTTGGTAACCCTTTGTTTTGTCTAATGCTCTGACATCATGCATCAATTCAGTAAGAAAATTTCTTTTGTTTATTGTATTTAAAACTACGAATCATGTTATAAATTAATTATGCATTGTTTGTCATGTACTGATTTCACTTGACTTTATTAAGCTCTCCTTTAAGAAAGTTTCTTAGTGTACTGTTTACATCCTTGCTCTAGGAGGGTATTGAAATGTTCATTAGGCCCTATTATCATATTTTATAATTTTTGCCCTAAATATTTTCTAAATTGGAAAAATAAGTGTTATAATTGAATAATTTGAAATTTCAATATATGTTCGTCTCGATATCTTTTAAGGGCTTTAGGTCGTGTTTAACATACAAAGATTACTTGGCAATGAACTGTTATTTCTTGACCTGTTCTTTCCTAAAAATAATTCTTAAATGGAGTTGAAAAATGAAGTTACAAAAATACCTCGTTTCCTTCTCTCTACAAATTAAGTACTTCTTTGGATTACTATATTTAGTCCTCATTGGACTTGTTGCTATTCTGTTCATTATCTACACTATTTTATCTACATAAAGTGTTATTCTGACATGTTGAGGATGGAGTTTACGCTGAATGGCCAAGTATTTTTGTAGGTCATCTTTATTCTCTTTTTTGTTATCAAATTATCTTACGATTCAAGTAAAAAGAAGTGGTGTTCATGAGTTTATCTCATTAAATATAGAAAAACTTTGCCGATCTCCAGATTGAAAACGCCCTATTTTGAAGAATTTTCGTAGATAAAAAAATTGTAGATTACGATAAAATTAAGCCATTCAAAAAGTTTTAGTCGGATGTTAAAAAGAAAGGGGTCTGTATTGCTGACTAGATTTCTTTTCTTCCTTAAGTCTAAATTCTTTTTGGATACTGAGTCTTTGTCTTAGTTTTTATTTTATTTTTCGATCATTCACACTTTATTGGGTATCTAAAAAAACCTATCTTACTTGGATATAGATTTAATACGTTACATCACACCTCTGTTAGTTCCATGTTCGACATCTCGGTCGCGAGAGGGAATCAGTCATCCGACAACAATTTAACAGAAGAAACGGTCATCCTAAAATAAATAAAAAAGATGGCTGACTGCTTGTAGTCATTTCTTTGATATAAAAAGATTGTTTACGAAGTATATAATATGGAATTGCGGAATGCTAACTGTGAATGGTGCCAGTGAATGAGTGGTGTCCGCTGCGTATAAGCGGGATGCCGATGTAACTTTTATTATTTTTATGTTTAATAGGAGGGGAAGAGTCCGGGATAACTAGAGCCATCGGTATTTACAACCGGGGCGTTATATTTCTTCTTAGGAATTTCTCCTACCGTTTATTAAATTGTAAAATATCTTCATTGTCATTGTAGCTTTAAGAAGTTTCTAATAATAATCTCGGGCTTTTTATGCGATTGCTCGTCGTTAGATTCGCTCCATTTTATTGCTAAAAGCCGTTATAATTACCTCTGGAATCATAATTAGAATCGCAGGTTATTGTATGGTCGCTTAAGACATAATGGCACCAGGTCAGCAATGTCAAACATGATTATATAAATTTTTTCTCACCCTCCTGCGATTTTATTGCACAATTGCAATGTATACATACATATTCATGATAATTTTTCCTTGTATTTCCCGATGATGGCATATGAAAATAAAAATACACGATATATATATATATATATATATATATATGTTTTCTTATCCTTCATATTATTTTTCTACTATTATAAATATAAGTACATACAATATATACATATATATATATATATATATATATATATATATATATATATATATATATATATTTGTCCTTTCGCTGTCCTTGGAATTTTAAGGAAAGCTTTGAAAATTGTCGCATGTGTAACAATCATTGAACTGGGAGGGACCGCTCCGCTCGTTTATTATGTTTACAATATTTATATAAATACAACAATTTACAATATTTACTGCAGGGTTCAGACCCCTTCCATCTGTAGGTAGTTCCACCAAACAGAGTTTATATAATCATATTGTAATGATGAGTATTAAATTGTGATGTTGTATTTTATTTTTGTTGCTTAACGGAATTATTGCATAAGTTGTAATCGGCATTTAAAAAAAAAAATGTGTTTCTGTGTTAAAATTAAATTTAAACCATTATTAAACATTGATGAAATTTATTACACATCTTCATTTTCATGTCATTCATTTACAACTTATTTGATCTTAGTTCCACCTGCACTTCAATTTAAGTCATCCTACCGCATACACCAACTTATATTAGAGAAAGAGGGAGGTCTAAATTCATACCGTGTTGGGTCATAAAATAAATTTGTTTGCTAATTTTTTAAATGTTTCAAATGTTGTAGACATTTTTCTACCCAACTCGCAAAAATGTCGTTTTCATGGTATAGGAAATAGATAAAGTTACTGATGTATTCAAAGGGTGGTTCGTTTGTCCTTTGGTATTAATTTTTCTCAAATTTTTCGATATTGATGTTAAGACCGATTTTTTCCGGTTTCATCTTAACTTCGAACATTTTAATAGCTTCATAAGCTTGCAAGGCGATTAATAACTTCTCAATTGGTTTGGATTGATTTAAATATTGTTGGGGAGCTTACTTCTCCTTGTGGAACACTTATTTTTATTTGTATTGCGGAATCGTTCAATTAAAATATTCCTTTGGAATTTCGCCATGCGTTAGTAAATATTCTGTTGATACCGTTACTAATATTTATCTTTCCGTTCAGTTGATGGAAGATACCATTCGTTTTAAATAAATCGAACGCTCTATCAATAACGTTAGCTTTCGTTCGATATTTGAAACTGAAGTTTTCGCCGAGTGATAAAGAATTGAGAATATCTGTAAGATTTTTGAATACCAATAACTCATCATTGCATCAATCCTTCATCCCGAGTTAAGGATTTCAAAGTTGTCAGTTGGCCTTCTGGAAGGACACTATTTTCGAACACCTACTCGGCTACGGCAAAACGACTTACAAGCTGCTATTAGCACCCAATGCCTCTTTGGTCTTTCATTCTTGTTTATGGTAGCCAGCTCGTGCCGACAGCTGTTGCCGCAGAAGAGGCACTTGCGCTGCCGACAGGCCGTGGCAGTGATTGCGGCGCAACGCAAATTTATTGTCATAGGGTGGGCTAATGCCCCCTTTGCGGCTCTACTCTCAGCTCTTATCTTAAGGTATAAATATTTTCCGAGAGGCGGCGTGAATGCCTTAATTCATCACGCCTTGAGTAATTGCCCGTGACGCCCGGGATAGTCAAGACAAGACAGGGCTAGCGGAGGCGGCTACAAATTGTCTATCTGGTTCCCTAATTGGCAGGCCGCTTCTATTCAACCCGTTCACGACCTGTTAGCACGTTGGCTCTTCGTCTCCTAACGATTAGCTTCCGATCACAGCACTCCTCCCCAGTTTTATTTGACAGTCTCCCCGCTCCTTGTTTTATTGTCCTCTCTTTGCGCTTGTTAAACACTTGTTATTTGCCTCGTATTCATCTGCGATTTGCTACATAAACAGATGCTAGTGCTTACTGTTGCAGGCAGACATCACGCCTTTCTTATTAGGTTGCTGTTCATATTAGTTTTTACTACAAATAAAGCATGGGGGATGGATTATTAACGTAGTCTTGTCAGATTTCGAAAGTCAAGAATTTCGGATTTGGACTGGTCTCGGTCATAAATCGAAAATACTGTGTTAAATACTACCTTAACACACTCGTCATCATTATTAAGAGTATCGTTACTGTTTTGGAGAATGAAACCAAATTCTCTACATTTAAGTTCAAATGTCTTTAGAATTACTGTTGTCATACTTTTATAAAAACATTTTCTGTAGTTTACATTACACTCATATGTTTTTTCCGCTATAACTGACATGAACATTTTCGTACGAACTAAGTTTATCAATGGGATTTGGTTTTTTTATGAATAACGTAATTCAAATAATTATTATAAACTTTGCCAAGGTTAAAAAGTTAAAGTTCTCTTTAAGTATTTGAGATTACCTGGCTATCATTTTTCTACTTTTTATTTCTTCTTTACCAAAGAAATATTTTACCCTATTACTCTAGATGTATATTTATTAAAAAAAAAAGTTAGCTGATTGAATAATTAGTTTCGGAGAAAACAAGTGATAGAAGAAAAAATTTACTTTCAAGTTGACAAAATTTTAGATTGTACATTTTCCTCTATTCATCCTCGATTTTTAGGCTATACGGGGTTTTCCTAGGATAAGGGGATGGGGGGGAATTAATGCCATAGTTAAAAGCTTAATCTGGCACCGAGACGCGAACTCGGAATTATTTAATTATATTAACGCGTGTTTTGCACCGGCGTTAGCTCTCTTGGCCACCCGTTCTGTTATTCTTGTTATGCATTTGGTACTTTTGGCTTAATAATTCCAATATTGAATTTGTCTAATCGATCAAGAAACAAAATGAACTTCTCCCTGCTCACTACAAATCTAAAGTTTTACTTTTCAAAAAGAAGAAATCGTTTTCTGTCGTTGTATTTGCTTTCCGCGGCTTTCTATCCTAGACTACTAGGATATATATATTTTTTTTAATTGGCACAAAATCATCCAATAATAGTCCTCAGAACTCGACATTACCCTCTTTATTTTCCCAATATCCTTTATATGTTAGTATCTGCTTCATTTATGTAGGTTTACTGAAGTATTTCAGCTTATGGAATATCCTTAGTTCATAAAAGATTAAAATTTCTGTCGAATGTTACTTGCATCATCTTAACTTTCAGCCACTAGCCGTGTTTATTCCTTCTTTATCTCCTTAAACAAACACAGATTCGACGTGATGTGTCTTCATCACTAATAATAGTGAAGGAAATTAATTTTATTTTATAAAAATTTGTATTTACCTGCGTACTTAAGAATTACCAATACCCATAAACATCCACATTATGTTAATAATATACAATAAAATAATGTGGAATGTATTCGGTAAAAAAAGTATTCCAAATTATTAACTTCAGTTCACGACTTATTTTGACTATTCATAGATTATAAGACATCTGTTTGTCACTTTCGTATATGGGCTCCTTCCTAAATCGTAATGAAATACACCTGTTTCTGCAACTTGAAAATATTGACCATAATAAACTTTCAGGTGTGAAATGACATAAACTCTTGATTCTTTGTATTTTTTGGGTCCCATGTGGGATGCTCAGAAGGTTGTTTCATGATGTGCTTTCTTGATGTTGCGCCATCAAAATTTTTTATTTCGACGGAGTTATGAATTTTCCGACTAAGAGACAAGGGAAGTGTAATTTTATATGATACACGATTTTCTATCTTAGCTCTGTTAGCTGTTAGCTCTTTGCTCTGTTTTTAAGGTGCGTTCTTGCTCCATCGACCTTGGGGGGCGGGGAGATGGACATCTCTGAGTACCTACCATTATCACTATTTTGGTGTTATAATTTATGTGATGTAATAAATATGTAAGAAAGCGATAAGATGTTTTTATTTTATATTATTTGGAGACTGGGCATTCTGAACCATTCATTTCTATTCCTTTCCGACTTCGCGATAATCGTTATATCCTTATACTCGCTATATCCTCGCGGGTGACTCAGGGCTAGTTTTGAAATAAACTGGACCAGGCCCTTGTTAAAAGGTAGAATGAAATAAAAGGGTCCTGCCAACGCTTATTAGAATACAATGGTCTTTGGAAGAGCCGCAAAAACCAGGAGCTCTTAGAGCTTCCCTTCTCTTCGAGAATTTGTTAATCTCTCACCTAACGGTCCCCGCCTCGAGATATTCGTTGTGTCAATTGTAATCCCTCAGAAATATCATCATAAGTATAACGATTTATGTATATTTTTCCGAAAGAGCGGAATTGTCTTTTCATGAAGAAATGGAGAAAAGGTTAATTCATAACAAAAAATATTTAGGAAAACCCCAGCTTGCCTGAACTGTCTTTCCAACAAACAAAAATATTTTGTTGGAATAATTAAATTTTGACACGATTATTTCCCCATCTTGGGAAAATACCTCATGTTTCGCTAGCCAGTGGCTCTGTTTACGAATGGACTGCGCTTCAATGTCAATTTCATTTTGTTTTTCAATGTTTCTGTGCTACTCCGTGTTTTTATGATGTTTATAGAAATTGTTGCCACGAAGGAGTGGTTAGAATTATCAACCTATTTTAATTTGATTCCGTGGTATAAAGGAAAAATTCCCCCATTCCTCAAATTAAAAGTATTTAACTTTGATTATGGAGTTGATCTACTTGATTCTACTTTTTTTTTGCCGTCTGCCAGTTGTTGTGTCCTCTGTTTAGGGATTATGTAGAAATCCAATTAATCTAGAACTATCTTACTCTTAGTTTGATCTTGAATTTTTTTCATTTGATTTTAATCTTGAAATATTCAAGTACTAAATACGGACTAGGAGCTTTCGGAGTAAAGCACTCCTCTCAAAATAAAAAAAATAATAAAATAGTTTCATTGGTCCATATTTGTTTTTATTAATGATCTGAGCTAAATATTTAAACTATAAAAATATATTCTCTTTTTAAATTGTAGTTTTAGCTGCTGAATGTAAGCACGTGTCAATAAAATAATTATACCAAAATGCATTGTAGTTCCTGTAATTACCGCGTTTTTTTTTCTTGTTGTACAATCCATCAACGAACACTTAAAAATCATTTCACATAGCTTCTTACAGAATAATTAGCGCTATAAAAAAACAAAACAAGTTCTCTTAAATTGTAGATTATATCAACTCAATCCTCAGCAACTGGTCCTCAACAGTTGAAAATAATGAATAATATATTATAAAACTTTTTTTTACGAATTGTCAAGTTGTAAACTAATTTAGAGTTTTATAAATTTGCAGTGTAGAAATGCAAGATTATATTAACATGGACTCAGTAACTCTTCCTAAATAGTTTTGGTAACAAACAAGCCATTCATTGAAGTTAAAAGTTCGAATTAGAAGATTTTTTCAATTGAAAGAAAAAAGTGAACCTTTCCTATTGGTTCACCTCCATGAACCTTTCCTACTTGCATATATTTTTTTTTTTTGCTAGCACATCCTTTCGTTGCTTCGTTTAAAGTCCATGGTACATACCCCTTCTTATCAAATTATTAACATTCGCCTGAAACTTCGTAAATAGCTTCATCTCATCGTAATGTACAAATATTATATTTACGAAAATTCTCGTTATTGGGGCGTTTTCAATCTGGAGGACGTCAAACTTTGTCTATCCAACTAGGTACTAAAAACTCGTAAATACTAATTTGCTTTTCACTTGTATCGTAAGATTATTTGATCACGAAATCAACAAAAAAAGGCCCTACAAAAATATGGGTCCGTGTAACTTATATAACCTCGTTGTTTTGACCATTTAGAAGTGTATGCCACGCCAGACGGCTCAATATTTTCAATATCTTTTTTCTCGACTTCTGGCTCAAGTTATCTTACGATTTAAGTGAAAAGCAAATGGTAATTACGAGTTTTTAGTACCTACTGAAATAGTCAATGTTTGCTGACTTTCAAATTGAAAACTCTCCAATTCCAAGAATTTTATTTAAAATATTTGCAGGTTACGATGAAATGAAGCTATTTACGAAGTTTCAGGCGAATGGTAATAATTTGTTAAAAAGGGGTCTGTACCACGGACTATTACTTATTAAATTTAATATATTTTTTGTAAAACAAAATTAAAAAAATTTTAATTTTCAACTCATTACATTGGCTTATTATAACATTGTATTACTCATTCCTGAGATGGTTGCTAGCCGCGACACCAGCTGGACTATTCCGCGCGGTGCACTATGCAATTGGCCTCTGTTATTGTGAAAGGCTAGCGCAGATGTTACTGTTAGTGTCTAGAGATAATCGTTTATTAGCCAGTGAGGTCACCCTCAGCGATACTCGATATCCAGCTTAGTTTGCAGATTCGCGTCGTTATTCCTTGTAAAGGAGTTGGAAGATATTTGTTAATTGTTCCATTGTTAACGATTTTTGCGATAATAGTTGGAGTTTTCTACCATTTTCCTTGTAATTGGATGTCTATAAACCTTTCATTAAACTCTAATGATCATCATTAAATTTTATGGCATTTTTTTGCATTCGGATATATCTTGAAGAGTAGACAGAGCGATGGTTACAATGTTCGGACTACGCAGTAATAGAATGTTTGAATGTCAGAAATCGATAGTAATTTTATAATAATGCTGTTTAGATTTCTTCCCCTTTAGTCTTAGTCAAGTGTTCATTTACTTCGT